GACTTACGCTATTAATTTTAGCTTAATTTGCTTTCTAACGGCAATAATTTTTAAAAAATAATTTATTAACTCCTACTTAGATACTTGACGAGTCAAATCAATGTATTGATAACCTATTTGATTGCCCACAAGTACAAATAAGTTTATTTTTAGAAGATACCTCATTGATTCTTGAAGTATGGGAGGTTGTATATTTAACAAGCCAAAAGACATCCCACTTTGTATGTCTTTTGAATAATGGTACCTTTCTCTGCACGTGTATGATCAACAAGACTCATGGTTATCCATGTCGCCATTTTTACCGTGTAATGACTCTTACGTCTACTGCTAGATTTCACATTGGTTTGGTAAACCAGCGTTGGTATAAAGATATACTTCAAGGGACTGATATATCAAATAAAGAATTTGTTGCCATTTCTTCAATGAAAATGTCGGCATTAAAGACGCATTCTCTGCCAACACAATTTTTGAATTCAAATGGATCTGCTATTCAAGTTGGAGCTTCGGCAATAAATACTGAAATAACTAAATCTATATCAAAAAAACGTAAGTTTGGAGAACTTTGGGGTTTAGGAAGAAAAGTAATGGTTGATGTAATTGAAAACAACAATGAGGATACTTACCGAGAACTTTGTGAGGTTTTTCTGTCAATTCAAAAAAAATTACAGCCAAGAATTGTTGTTGATAATAGTAATGGTGGTGTTAGTAACAGTAATAACAACGGCGAAAGTGATAATATCATGAATATTCGAAATCCTGTTGAAAGAAGGCCAAAAGGTCGTCCTAAATCAAACAAGAGAATGAAAAATACTTTAGAGTTATCTAATACTAAAACTCAATACACATGTAAATTGTGTAAACAAAAGGGACATAATAGCAAAACTTGTAAGGAAAAATTGGATAATGCTAATAAAGAGAATGAAGTGTTTGAAAGGTAAGCTTTATTCAAATGCGTTAATATGCTTCTAATCACATGTGATTTACTGTTATTATTACTATTAAAGCTAACGAAGTACAGTAGTACAGTATATGAATAAATCCAATAAAAAATGAGTCAAATTTCGTTCATGAATACCTATAATTGCTATTCAAATTACGGTTACAAATTATTATAAATGTCATAAAAATTAAAGTATAAAAATTACGTAGTACAACTAAAAAAAAATTTGAGTATCGCCATGGTGACGGGTCGTCAAATAATGTTACCCATATTATTTATATTTAATTTAATTTCTTATCAACTATTAATCCTAGAAATGCAATTTTACTACCATTAGATTCATCTTACTGAGACGATTCCAATAAGCTATATTTTATTCTTTTCTGATCACTAAGTCAAAAGTTAGTAAATTGGATTTGTATATTTTATCTAATAATTTTATCTTAATAAGTTGAATTTTAAAAAATTCATAAAAGGAAAAATTATTTGTTATTTAGTGTGATATGCCAAAATAGATGTTTTATAACTTTAGCACCATATTTCTAAAGATATAAAGGATATAATAAATAAAATTTACAATAAGATATAATTAAAAGTATTAATAATTCTGTTAAACTAGTAAAAATTTTACAATTCAAATATAAATCAAAGAGATCTCCTATTTAAATTAAAGAATAATCTTAATGCTTACCAGTCACCAGATTAGGGGTAAAATTTACTTAAGGTATAGCAAAGATATCTGTCACCATTTTATCTGATCTAATTAAAATCCATCTTTCGTTTATCTAATCTGATTAGAAATCTATCATCTGAAATATTCGTAATATTTTCATTTGGATTATCTGGATCATTCTTACATAATCTGAACTTATCTGTATTATAGATAAATTTTTTTTCTATTCACTTTTATTAATTCGCATGATAAAAAACATAAATATATAAAAAAAGCTGAAGTTTAGAATAAATTCTCCCTTCACCCTACTCACTTCCATACCTGTCTCTTATACACATCTAGATGTGTATAAGAGACAGCATTTATCCAAAGTAAACAAAAAATTTATGAAAATAATGGGATAATGTAATA